AAAAAAAAATAAACTCAAAAATTTCGCCCCTTCCCTAAAATACCCCCCTGCACGTAGTGTGTACAAATAGACAACATCTATGTATTTCAAAAAGCATAACATAAAAATTTTAATTTGATTGAAGGATAAAAATACGACTTTTACACAATTTTGTGCCCCTGGCATAGGTACAGTTTGCCAAACCCTTGCTTCGCCACTGACTAATTGTAAAATAAACAAGTGACTTTGGTTTTCATATTTAGCTTGAGCAAAAATAGAACCGGACGGATCAAGATCAAACATGTTTTGTTTTATTTTTTGTATGTTGATGTTGACTGATTAGTGTGCATGCGTTAATTACTTTACACGTGTTCTAATGATATCCAAACAGCTCCCAACTGATCCGAGTTGCTCGGAGCAGTTTTGCTCTATAAGTGTGCGCCCAGCTTAAGACTAGGCGTTTCATTAAATATAATATTCAGTGTTTATATTTCAAATGGACCATTGGGAAAAAAATATTTGGTTTTAAAATAAAAACTTATTTTGTGATGACTAATAAATAAATAAAAAAGTAAATAGTTAGTGATTACCAAAAGAAAATTATGATAAAAAAATTACTGTCACAAAATTATCGAAACTTATTTTTAAGTTCTTAAAGAAAAAATATCAAAGATATGTAATGATTGAAGGATAGAAAAGTATCTAACAAATATAATCTAATAATTATTATAATAAATTAAAATGTATTACCTCAAAATTATGGAGTATTGATTGATTTTTTCGTTTTGCTTTTATTTTTTTTGAATCTGAAACTATACTGTTTTGTAAACTTTTTATGAAATATATTGCCAAGGAAAGTAATACACAAGAAGTATTTATGGTCTGAAAAAAAAAAAATAAAAGAAAATACATTAATAATATTTTTCACAAATAGTAAATAGTAATACTACTTACTTCTATCATATTTGTAAGTATTTCTAATACTTCTTTTCTTCCTTCTAATTTCAGACTAGAATCGTTTACATTAATTGTTTTTGAAATAATACATTGGCAAAAATCAATTGCCTTTTCAAATCCATTTTTAAGATCAGATGCATTAACTTTCATTTTATTAGTCCACTCATCCATACAAACAGAATTTTTTACATTTGAACCCATTGTTTTTATAAGTTCAATAAAATTGATGATGATGGTCAACATAATTTTAGATTTTTCTAAACCAAACAATTTAGATCCAAAAAAACTGCCAAATACACTTATAGGAACTGAAGTAGGAGGATCGTTTTCTAATTGTGTATATAAGTATTTCAGATTTCCTAAATTTAAATTTAATAAATCTAAGTACTCTAATTTAAGTGATTCTTCGTCATGACTGAATCCATTTACTTCCGAAGATATAGATTTAATATTTTGTGTACCCATTTGTTTTACCATTTGTGCACTATAATAAATACAGCTAAGTAAAACAGCTCGGATTTCTAACAAGCGCAAGTCATGCAAAAATGTTTGATTTGAATGTTCTAAAGTCAAGCAACGTGAAGGAGGATTGTAGTTGATTAGAACTGAATAGTCTCGATTGTTGATCATTTTTCCAAGATGACACTTAGATGCAATTTCAGGTACATCGTTCATTTTTAATACAACCTATTAAATTTGAATTAAAAATAATGTTAATTTGAATTATTATTTATTATAATTTATTGAGTTGGACGTGAACTTGAAATTTAAAAAAATTTAAACGTAACATTTTTCTATTCGAATTAGAGTACTAAAATCGATTTGACAAAAAAATTGTTTGTACTTGTAATATATAATTAGGTACTTTATATTTAAATTGAGTACTCGACTTGAATCAAGTATTTGAGTTTATTTCACTATTTTATTGAAAAATAAGTTAAAACTATAGATAATTGAGAGCCAAATATTTCCAATAGGGAATACCAGGAAGGTTGATGATTTAAATTAATAACAATAGATTGTTATTGCTTTGATATTTTACTATAGTGATAATGACATTTTATACAGATTGGTAATGACAATTATCTTATGTACTTGGCATTTTTTGAGTACTTAAACTCTTGAACTCTACTCAACACTAAATAATTTAAACTTGACTAGACTTAAAAAAAAACAATACGCGCCCAACTCTAATAATTTATAAAAAGCAATTAATAGTTCAGAAATACCTCTAAATATTCTTCCAAACTATCAACATCTAGTAATGAAATGAAATGATTTTCAACAACACACAAAGAATGATTAATAGAATATTTGAGTTTTTCACGAAATTCTACAAATTCAATAATTTTGATAAAGGATCCAAATTTATATGATATAGTTAAATGGTCAGCAACCTAAAAGAATAGTAATAAAAACAAATAATCAATCAAGAAAAGTATATAAAATTATAAATTGATATTTTACTTTCACACCTCTCGATAATTGTGTGAGAAGAATCTAACAGTAGTAGAGTGTAGTTTAGATGCATTTTGGAACCGACCTTCATTAAACATTAGGAAAGTATGTAAATACCCTAAGGAATCCAACTGTGTATTCTTTATCTCTAAATTTATGTAAGCTGAATTTGAAGCATCAGAGGCTCCTAAAAAATAAATAAAATGATTATTAAAAATATAAAGCAATAAAGTATATAAAATATAAATTTAAATACCTAACATATGGTAGAACTTCAACAACAACAACTTAATATGAAAATTTGAAGGACTGAGAGAGTATGCATACTCAAGTACAACAATTGCTTCTCTAATATATGTAAGCCTATTGTTTTCAACCCAAATATCATACATTAAATGAGCCATCATTATAACAAAAGTATCATTTGCCCTAATAAAAAAAAAAAAAAAAGAAATTAATAAAAATAAAAAATAATAATAAAAATATAGATACATGATTTATACTATTATCTTACATTATTTCAGAAGATCTTTTGTTATTATTAAATAATTCACATCTGTGATAGCATTTGAGTAAACGATCAGCCAGTTTTAACTTTTGTTCAACATTCATGAGATCGTGATTTCCAACGTACCGAGCAATTTGAAGTAATGATAGGTAACGTTCCATTTGAGGTTTCTATTAGTTTTATATTTTAATTAATATAATATATCTTGTTATTTATTTTAACATAAACAACTGTAATGAATTACTGATAAAGACTTGGATCAAGCATAAATAAGGTTAAGACTTAAAATATGAATGTCACAAACTTGAAACATAGTGATACTATTTTAGATAATGTTCCAAGTCTTCTTAACAAGAATCTGATAAAGAAAATACATACTGTTTTAGGAAATTCTCCTTCTTTCAAATCTACTATTTCATCTAACTTTTTTAAGAATTTTTGAAGTGATTCCTCTTTTAAAAGTGACATATATGGTCTTAAATCAAAAAAACAACATGGCTTTTGTCCAAATATATTAAAATATTCAATAAAAAGACTGATAGGATCACCTAAAATTATTTATGTTTTGTAATATCATAATGTAATAATTTAATACATATTATAAATATAAAATTAAACTAACATAAGAGTATTAACGTCTAAAGAAAAAACATATAAATCATGTTATTAATTATAACTAACAATAATAAGTAATAATTAGGGCACAGATTTAAATGCACTTAAAACCATACAAATATGCTCTAAAAAATAGCCAAAAATGTCCTTAAAAAATGCATTTTATCATAAAGATAACTTTAAAAATGAAAAAAATGACATAATTTTTTTTATTTTTTGCATTATTTAACATACAATTTAATACGTTAAAATTACAAACACATGTAATATGAGCATTGTCTGCGAGGTAATATGAACTAGCTGATAATTTGTTATTTGATCGAATACTGGTGACGTTCTATAGTCAATAATAAATTAAGATAAGATAAAAACTGAATCGAAAAATAAAGATTGACAATGTGTATGGAAAATCCCGATAAACCTACTTAAACATCAAGACAATAATTTTCCTTTGATTTTATTTTGAATAGGCTAAATTTGTTTAGTATATCAAACAAATATGCATTAAAAACCAATAAAACGACCCAATTATACTAAAAATGCTCTAAAAATGAAAAACGTCGAAATATATGCAAAAAAAATGAAAAATAAAATTTGTAGTTTTGAAATCTTCGTTACATGAAACAAATTATGTTCTTAGAGAGCTTTGTGTATAATTAACCAAAAAAATATGCACTTTGTATTGAAATCTGGGCCCTAGTAATAACTAATTTAAAATGTATATAAATCAGCAATTAAGAAATATTTGTATTTAAGTTGGAAGGATATTTATAAGCAAAATTAAATATATATTAATCAAAAAAGATTATAGTTTATAATAATTACAAATTTTAATTAAAATTAAAATCAAAGTTATCTTACCCATATAATTGTAAGCATTTTCTTTTAATCTAGAATATAATTCTAGACGAGCAAGGTATACACCTCGTTGAGGATAATTTGACTCGGAATTTAACTTTTGCAGTTCATCAAGGAACAACAACGCTTCTTCAATAGATGAATCAAAGTGAAATGCAGTATCAGTATCACCATTGTAGCTCAAGTATTTATCTTTTGTTTCAATTATTTTAAATAATGAATCAAAGTATTTTGTATAGTAAATCCATGAATCTATGCTGTTAAATTAATAAAATAAAATTACAACTAAAATATATTTCAAACTATCAAAGAAGTAAAATATACAATCATGCAGATTGGAGATAGAATAACAAGGAAATACATTGTAATTGGAAAAAAACTCTAAAATTGTAGTATTAAATGTTTAATCATAAACTATATTTTTCTTAAAGTCTAGATGATATTTTGAATAGATATCTTTAAATTGTATTCAATTTTATTCATATTGGAAAAAATACATAAAAACGAGCATTATTTAAAAAATAAAAAAATAACTTTTTTTGAAAACAGATTTGGATATTTTTTTCTAGCAATATTGATGTTAAAGTATTTTTATCATCTTAAAAATTGATTGAATGAGAATTAGTTAAAATCTCAAATTATATAAATAAAATTAAACTTTAAAGTATAAAATTATTTTGTAAAAAAAAAAAAAAAAAAATTGAGGAAAAATACAATAGGTTTGGGATCAAATATTTTATAGCTAAATTTGAACTATTAAAATGAAACAAATTGAAATTTTTATTAATTTTTAATTAGAAAAATATTGAATAAAAGACAATAATGAATGTAAAAATACTTACTCTTTAAGAAGTAAACTTTTTATATATGCATTTACTTCAGTATACATTTCTAATTCAAAGTAAATATCAATTTTTTTTTGAGTTAGACCAACAGTTCGATGCAATTTATCACCTAGTGGCCCATTAAGAACATCTAAACTTTCTTTATATTTTTTCTAAAAATAAAAAAATTACTTAACTTTTTAATTATTTAATTTAATTTAATTTATTTTTCTACTATTTTAAATTTACCTGCATATCTAATATCATCAAATACAATTGAATTTCTTGTTCAGCATCAATTTTCTCTTCATTAATATACTTTTGTACCATACGTTCTGCTAATGGTAAAGTAATTCTTTTTGATATTTCATCATTAGTTTGATATGCCTTAAAACATGAAAAAATTTTCTATGTATATAACAATTATCCCTGTATGTTTATTACATAACTTTAGAATATAGGTTCTTAACCGGGGGTCCATGGACCCCTTGGGGGTCTGTAGAGGTTCACAGGATAGCTGTGATTTTGATTCCAATGGCTACTACCTATCTCTGTGAGTCTGGATTTTCTACAATGGTCACAATAAAAACTAAAGCAAGAAATCGAATCAACATTAAGGACGATATATGCATTGTTCTGTTCGATACGGTCCCAGATTTCAAGGCAATATTGTAATCAAAACAACATCAAATGTCACATTAAAACTTGTTTTTAAATAAAAGAAAAGTGATTATTCACAATAATTTAATATAGTATTAAAGTCTTAGATTTATCATTAAAAAAGAACTAAAATAAAATTTGTATTTATTTATTTATTTATATATATATTTTATTTAAGGAAGGAGGGTCCGTGATTATATTTTATGCTCTAAAGGGATCCATGGCCCAAAAAAGGTTAATAATCTATGCTTTAGAGTTTGTTTATCAAAGTTAATAAAATTTAACTCAAACTTTTTTTAAATTTAAATTGATTAACTATAAGTAATCAGATTCAGGCAAATGTAAACAAAAATTTATAGTATCCAAGTTGATTTTTGTTTAATTAAATTTGATTACTTTAAAACAGTTTTAAAAAATTCACTTTGATTACATTTAGGTAACTATTTTATTTCTATACAGTAATTATGTATTAAATTGAAAATGTACCTGCATAACAATACTCATAACAGCCCAGAAATAATATGGGTTATTTGGTTTAACTTTGTGGAGAGCCAATGCAGTCTGTTGTTGTTTTTTATAATCACAAACTCGAACATAAGACATGAAAAGATTAGATAATAATTCTTCGTTGGTTGCATCTTGGAGCAGAGCATCTTCATAAACTTCACATACCATATGAGCTACAAATGAGTTTAAAACGTTAAATAAAATCAATTGACAAGGGAACTGAAATTACGTTTTTTTAACTCTCTATAACAAGCGGTCAACGCAAGCAGTGTAGATTCGTCAGATGGCTTGCAATCTCTAACTTCATTTAACAGAGTTTCTGCCTCTTGGTTTTTGCCAAGTCGCACTAAAGTCAAGCTCTTTAACGCCTGTACCAAGTGAAGAATACATTCATAGTTTAAAATTAAGTCACTCCATTAATCAATTCGAGTTTTATTAAAACATCGAGTAACAAGTACATACTTTGGAACAATTTTGACTGGGTAACTTTTTTATCAATTTGTCCAACTCGTGCAAGGCTTTTTTATAATTACCATTGTCTATCCACTCTGTAAGTAAAAATACCAATTATAAAAATAGTAAACGTGAAACTATGAATATATTGATCGGAGTACCGTATATCGGTCTTAACCGCCTCTCCGCCATAAAATTATCGTTTCTATTGAGTCTGTTTCTGGAGGCCATTTGAAACCTACTTATTAACCTTAATCAAAAACGGAGGAGCGAACAGATGCCGACGACTCACGGGGTGGAAAGGGAGAGAAAGAGAAAAATAACGAATAAATAAAATGGTAAATTATGAAAGAAGAAAAACCGAGAGCGGTACGACACTTCGCAGCGCGTTCGTCGGGTTTGAATATTGTGTGCTCCGAGTTTACATTAGCGGTGTTTATAACCACAAATAACATAAAAAAAAAAAAAAAGAAAAAAGAAAAAGATAAAATGAAAAGAAAAACACTCGGCGCAACCAGTGTTGCTCGCGCAGATAAAAACGAGAAAAATGTATTGGAAGTTTTGTCGGACGACGGCAATATTGCGCGATCGCGAGAGACGAAATGGAATACGTTCGGATCCTCCGGGCCGTCGGTAAACAAAAATCATTAAGGTACGTCTCGTCGACCCGTTTGTCTCCGTTCGTCCGCTCAGCCGCGTAGCCGTCGCCCGGGCTCTCCGCGTTCACCGTTCACCTCGTCATCGACCGTAGCGACCACCGGCACCCGCGCTCGTCACCGTCGCCGTGCCCGGATCTCGTTTTCCGCCGGAACCGAGTCGAAGGCAGCCTCGTCGCCGGGGACCTGTCGTTTTGTTCCTCGCGCGCGTCCCCCGTACACTACACGGCACCCGGACAAACGAGTCGGCCGCACTCCGTGCTTCTGTGTGTGCACCGTTTTGACGGGTGTGTTTGTTTGTGTGTGTGTGCGTGTGTTTTTGTGTGGCGCGTCCGTGTATTGCTGTGCCCGAGCTCGTTCGCGTACTCGGTACGTTTTTTCGTTTTCGTTTCTCCCCAGTTTCTCGCCGGACCGGCCGAACGCGTCCCTCCCGTTTCCAACGCCATTTTACACCGTCCTTGGCCGTTTAGCGCCCCGGTCTGTTGCCGGCTCGTGTACAGCCATCATTCGGTCCGTTCGTTCGTTACATCGAACTGCACAGCAGTTTTGTTTACCCTCCGCCATCACGTTACCCGTTTGGCGTGTGCGTGCGCTGTTTTATTTTTCCGCTGTCCGTACTTACGACGCGCGCTCGGTTGTCGTTGTACGCCTCACAGCCGCCGCGCACGTTTCCCACGAACGCCCGTCTTTCTAAATGTGTACGATCGTCGTCGACGGTCGCACATCAACATTCGTCTCGTCCCCAGTACTCGATTGACGCGATGGCTTCCAAAAAGTGCGGTTCACCCAGTCGCATGGATTTGGTGAAAGAGAGTCAAGGAAGAATGAAGGTAAATATCGTTTTCCTTGCGCTGTATTACACTACCACCATCAGGCGTCATTAATTTTCTTTTCCCGACTTTGATTGTTTCGTAAACACATTTTTTTGTACTGATATTCCTTTTGTTGTTATTATCATACTTTTTACTTTGTCTCTAAAGTACCTACTTTTTGTGACTAACATTTCTCTAAAAGCAATAGCAATAATTTCGATAAGTGTGGTTTGTGTATCATACTTGGACTCCATTATTGTTCAATATTTTTATTCATCTTAATTGTCCTTTGTATTTTAAATTATGGCTCTATAAAATCCCATATGATAGACATCTTTCAATTATGGACGCCTCTTTGTAATAAACAATTTTTTTAATTTCCACTAAATTTACTAAATGAATTATGAATATATTAAAATAACCGGTAGCTTTTCTAAGTTATTAAATTATTGTTTCTTACATCATAAGCATTCATTCCAATTTATTACAATTAATGTAAATCAATAAATATTTATGAGGTTATGTTTTATATTTTAGGAAATATACAAACTTATCGCTGAACCAGAATCAGCTGACAGCAAAAAGAAACTAAATTCAGATTATTTCGATTATTCTGGGAAAGTTATTAATCACGATTATTGTGATGTATGTTATGGAGGTGGAGAAATTGTATGCTGTGATAAATGCCCAAGATCTTTTCATATAATTTGCCAGTAAAATTGCAAATCAAATATATTTAATACATGCATTTTAAATTTTATAATTATATATATTATATTTATATTATTTTTTATTATTTTAAGTGTTCCTACAATTAATAAACTACCTGATGGTGATTGGTTTTGCAGAGGCTGTTCTGAATGCGATGATGTAAGGCTAATAATTTAATAGTATTATTTGAACTACATATGTATTATTTTGTTTTAGGACGACGAAATTCTTAAAGTTCCTAAGAATACTGTAGGTAAGTGGTTTTGACTCTTTGAGTCAATATAATAATATAATATGCATTGTGATATATTTAAGTTTTTATCTCAAATATATGATATTTACAGAGGTTAGAGGAAGGCTAACAAGATTATTAGAAATTGAAATTGTAAAGGCACATTCAGATGAAGAATTTCTCGCTGAAGTACCTACCAAACGCAAATTTAGTATGTAATATATTTTGATTTTTCGACATGAAATGTTGAATTTGTTTGTTTTTTTTTTTAGATGTAAAGCTACAAGGACGAAAACAATTGGATAAACAAAAAATGATTCGTAAAAAGGATAGATGTTTTTTATGCAAACGAGGTATTCTGAGGGGACGATTGGTGAACTGCCATTATTGTAATCGACTTTATCATCTAAATTGTTTGGACACTCCAATTCGTGACTGGGATCATAATATGAGATGGATATGTCCTGCTCATAACAATTTCTTTGTAAGGTTTTTATTTAATAACATTTTTATTTATACTCATATTTTTATATTTATTTTAATTAGCAATTGTCATATCCTGAATTGTTCACTCCTGGCGCTGGAGTAATATCAGATACTATAACAATGAAGAGACAACGATGTGAACTTCCAAGATTGCCTAAATATAAATTTTTCAATGTACCTAGTCATATTGATGCCATGTATAAAGAGGTAACGTGTTATTTATTTTTTTTTTTAAATTAATGTTATTTCACTTATAATTAATCAATTAAAATGAACAAAAAAAAAAAAGATTTTTACTTTTTTTGTTTTTACATATATTTTATGTAAACTTAATTTCAAATATAAATGTTTAGAATTCATAAAACATGAACTAACTAAATGTTTTGAATCTTTAGCCAGAAGAAAACATTCCAATGATGTCGACTGATAATTCTTCCTTAAATATTTTATGGTAAGTTAAAAGAGTAATGCTAATATTTGATAAATATTATGTTTTTTATTGTTAATTTTTAACAATTGAGCGACATATTAAAGCTCAAGATTTATCAATATTCGACCACCAATTATTCATTTTTTTTTATCTTCAATGTATATTTATGGTTTTTAATAAAAATTCATATTGGTTATTTTTGAGTTTTAAAAGTTAAAATCCATGTTCATTAATTTGGGTGTTTGTAACTTTTTCAGTGACGTTGCATCACTTGAATTAGAATCAATAGATTCTGATCAGCATATCAATTGTAAGTCATATTCTATTAAAATTGATTTGATTTTGGTTTTATCAATTTTAATACTTTTTCTTTACTGTATTTTGTTTATCTGTTTAAAAATGTTAATATTTCAGATGAAAATAGAATTTCAAATAATATTTCTGTTAAGTTCCTACCAACATCTCAGCATCTCAGTATATTGGAAAACAATAATAATTTACTATCTAAACAACCTTGTGCTTCTTTAACATTTTTATCTTCATCCACACCCATTACTATTTCAATACAAGAAAAATCATTTAAGATTGGTAAAAGTGAGTAGTAATTGGTATTATTTTAATAATTTTAATGATAAAAATAATTTAATGTTTACATATTTTTTTAGGTTATAATAATCATTTTTCTTTACAAGATTTGGGAAATTGCGAATTTCTTTCTGATTACCACGCTACAATTACATTTGATGATGTATGTATATGTATATATATATATATATCTATTTTAATATAAATTATACATATAAATAATATGGTACAGTAGGGTTATTAGTTAAAAAATAATAAATATTGATACCATTTATTTTTATTTTTAATAAAAATCTATATATAAGAATACGATTTTTAGGTTAGGTTATTTCTTAAAAAATGTATCACTAATTCCTATATTTTTTTTGATTAGTAAAATTAAGAAGAAAATGTTAAGAAAATTATCGTTAGTCTTATATTAATTATCAAATGCTGAATAGTTTTTGTTTAATAACAGTAGCTCACCCTGCAAAGTATTTATCTTTCGTCATTGAGTGTTTTGATTGGCTGTCTTCTATACGACGATTGCAACGAGCATTCTGATTGGTTCTTTTTTCTCGATTACGTCACTCCCACTATATGACTATTTCGAATACTGTAACATGAAACTGCTTTGCTACACCTCTTCTGTTGTATGTTATTAACTTAATTTATAATTATTATAATTTTTTTTACTTTAAATTTTGTTGGGAATAAAATTTTGACATTATTTTATCAATAATTATAATATTTTTTAAATCTTATACTTCAACTTTTTATTTTTTATAGTTAAAAATTCTTTAATATTTTTTTATATATATTTTATTTTATATATTATATATTATAATATTAAAATAATTATATAATATAACATAATATATATTATATATTTATTCCATATTTTTATATTAATTATATTTTTATTATTTTTTTAATATTTTTTCTGAAATTTAATATTTTTGGTTTAGTTAATGTAGATTAATGACTAATTATTTATATTTTTAATAGTTTAAGATTGAATTTATAAAGTACCCTTTTATGAAATTATATTGTATATAAATCAATTGATTTTGAATATTTGTCAATTTGTTAGGATCAATGTCATAGTTTGTTTAGTTTAAAAATGACAAAATCAGTAATAACAATAAAAAAGTAAATAAATGATATTTATTGAAATTATTTAATTCATAATGAATTAAATTTAAATATACTCTAGCATATCAGAGTGATAGTTGATCATATTAACCATAGTCTATGATGGCGGGGTAGGCATAATCTATTGGTGTTCTCTGCGAATAATCGAGTGTAGAGTGAGCGCCGCTAATGGTTGAAAATTTAATTCTAGTGGGTGCTTGAGAGTATAACACTAATTAAAATTATTAAGAATTAATGTTGTATATTAAACAATTATTTATAATTATTTTGTATGATCTGTATAAAATTGTAATGAATCATATGTATAACAAAACATCATTTGGACATAGAATTTTAAAAATATTATATAAATTATTTTATCATTTATTGTTAATTTATTTAATACCTTAAATTAAATGAGTAAAATTGTTTTTGTAAATTTTTGATTTAAAAATTTTTCAGTCTGGTGACATGAATTTTTTTATATCAATAATTTTTATTTATTCTAATAATACTTATCTTTAAAAATCGTTAAGGTATTACTAAATGTATAATATTTTTAATTTTACTTCTAATTTAAGATATTGAAGGAAAATTATACATTCTCAAATGAGTTATATTAATTAAATGAAGTTAAAAATATACCAACTCATATATATTTTTATTGTAAATTATTAAAGATTGTTTATTTATCATACTTTTTTTCTTTTTTTGATTGAAATTTAATTTTATTTAATTTATCTTTATATGCAAAATATTCATTATTTGTAATGGGTAAATTCTTAATTTATTTTATTCTATTGACTATAATTATTATTATTATTAATTTTTTTTTTTGCGGGGAGGAGTTGAAATACATGCAGATATGCATGGTATTTAATGTACTTTAATTTCAATTAGGCATAACTTGTTTGCTATAATAGAAAACTGATTAATCGCCCAAGTCTGTTCTGAATCATGAATAGAGAAAGAACTAGAATATATACATAAGAATTAATTATTATGATACACAAAAAAATATAACACAAAATAAATATTATTAGCTTAATGCATTTTCTTTATACAATTTAAAAAGGTATTTTTATTAAAATCCTTTGGAATTGTAAGTGTTGATGGGGATATATATTCTTGATGAAACTGGTCTCCTTCCAATTTAGAATGGACTTCAGTTAATTTTAAAGCACTTTTAATTAATTTTTTTTATTGTTTCAGGAACTTGGAGATTATCTTGTGAAAAACCACAGTAGACATGGTTTAATAGTTGATGATGTATCCTATTTTGGAAATCGCCGACCTAAAGAATCAAGTAACAGTGAACTGAAAAAAATTAATTCACAAGTAAAAAAATTCATAAATAAACAACGAAGACAAGTTTGGAATCGTAACTTGATTCGTATATATCAAAATAATTATAGTAAAGAAATGTTCATTAGATATATTGGAAAAAAACGTAGATTTAATTTTGAACCATTGTTAAAATATTATACTGGTAAATTAAAAAAAAATAAGCATGATTATAAAAAAGTCGAGTGCATGTGTTCCAAAAGATTTCCTCCTAAAGATGGGTACGCTGGACAAGCTTTACTATGTAATGGATCTATAATGTCAATTGGTTGTTTTAAATTTGAATTCACTTATGATATATATACAAAAGAAATTACTAAAGGCTCTACAGAAAATTTAGAAACCAAGCAAGATGGGAATAAACTTAATGGAGTGCGATTAAAACCACCATCTGAACAAGAGAACTGCATCAATATTACCAAATGTAACAGTTATGAACAGGAATTAGTTACCATTAATAGCCATTGCTCACTTGAAGATACAGATGACACAAATTCTTTCAATGAACAAAATAATATAAGCCTGTTTGATAACTCCCAAGATTTTAGTTCTTCTAAAGAAAGAACTATAATAAATGGTATTTCTAAGAACGTAACTATGCATGAAAATGATTTTAAACCACCATTAGAAGTTAACCTGCCAAATAATACAATATGCACAAGTAATTTGAATAATACAGATGACATTTTGTTGGATAAATGTTTTGCCAATGATTTAATTCAAGAAGTTGATGTATTGTCTGATGATGGTGGAATTATTGAAGAAGAAATTGTGTATGAAATTAATGTTCCTGAGGCTGATATCAGTACAACAAATTCTATAAATGATGATCAAGATTGGATTATTGAAGAAATTGTTGTTGAAGCAGATAAAAATGATCTCGAATCTTCTGTTAATTTACAACTGTCATCACCACTAGAGTATTCTGTACCTGAAAATAATCGTGGAGATTATAAGACTGAACATATGTATTGTGCACGTAGTCCATCTTACAATGAGCCTATTGTCATATCAGACGATGATGAATAAATATAATATGACTAAGAATTTGTAAACAATAAAGTTTTTTTTTTTTAAGATTTTGTTATTGATTTATTAAGTTTTGTTAAAGATTAGTCAGTATTAAGTTTTTTTATTTCCATTGTTGTACAATTTAGCTTTTTTAAAAGTAATTTATGTTAGTAATTTATGTTAAATTATAACTTTTGATGAAGTATATTTTATTTCATCAATAGTTATTAACCATGTACATAAATGATTATTTAGATAATTTTTTAATTAATTAATTTGATATGTGGTTCTTGTTATGTGATATATTTTTTATTTTAATTCCGCGTATCAATATTATAATGGTTTTTTTTTACCACAGCATTTATGTAGTGTAAATATAAGAATATATATTTATGCTAGAGTATACTACTTTATAACTAAAATTAATACTGATGGAAACAATGTTTAAATTATTAAATACTAATAATTAATGGTTTTACTTGTATAGCAAAACCATTACAAACTATACTTGTTAATTTAAAAATTGATTGATGTTGAATAGAGTATAAGTATAAAATTAATTGATTTTTACTTTTTATATTAGGTTTTGAAGCTACTATAAATGTTTATTTAAAATTAATTAATTTTAATGTATTAATATTCCAATATGAATTGATCTGATCAAATTCTTCGATACATTAATAAAATTTAAATTATATATTCATAAAAACTGTAATCACGCGTGTATTATATAAATATTCATTTGATCAAATCTGTAATCTGTAAGGTGTTTTAAATTGCTTGTATCACAAAAAATGTTTAAATATTTAAATAAATCTGTTGGAAATAACGATTACACGTTTGTTCCGACCTTTTTCTCCGGTCAAATGTTCAAAAATAAAGAGCGTTCTGTTGGGTGATCCGTGTCGAAGTTTCGCTAACTTAGAAGTTCGCGGAAACCTACGACCCCATCTGCTCAGCCAGTGCGATCGTGACGGAACGGTAGGCGTGACCGCGAGAATGCCGTATTTCTATTGGTCGCGTCACGCCATTGGTCGATCACCGCGCCCCACCACCACATATAACAACTGTTAACGGCGCAGTAGCGTCGGCGCGTCCGCAGACCGCTGGTTTCCGTTTCGGCCACATCGCGGCGTTCGTGTAACACGATGGTCCAGCGGTGTAACGTCGGCGCGGTACAACAGGCGCACTACCCAGCAGCCGGTTTTCGGAGCCACCGTCGCGTCGGCTGCACTGGGCACACTGCACACTATCGTATTGAACGCGTCCGCGCGCATCGGCGGCGTGTTATCACTTATCGTGGAATCGCCATTGATAATAGAGTAATTAATTATTCTTTACGTTATACCAAGTATAAGGTCTATGCTATAATCTAGGAAATCTATCCGAGAATCGCTGACCGCGTTGTCCACCGCAGAAATGTAACAATACTAGATTCTTCGTGTTATCATTGAAACGCCGTATCATAGAGTACCGTTTGCGCCGCATGCAGAGTCGAAATAAATGGTGAACGATCGTTACCGTTTGTCAACACGGTTCATAGTATTCCGAATAAGCAAACGAATGACTTGAATAAATAAAGCAGCCATTTTAATGAAAAATGATCTACCAGTAACTGTAGGCTTATGAAGAAAAACCGATGGAACAGCATTGGGTTTAAGTTTCAACTGCATCCCGTACTGTCAACGTAATCTAAATGATGCTAAAAAAACGAGCGTTGTATATTCGCCTGGAATTTTTCGGTATAAATCCGATTTGATTAATTAGCAGAGACCCATTGTTCCAAACGATGTTCATCTTTCAGCGGAAATTGAAAAATAAAAAATAATTTTCGTCAACTGTTGGACCTGATCAGTGTTTTGAAACGAAAAAACTTACACCCTTGCGTAAAAAAGTGAAAATCACAACCATCCTTTGCTCGATTTTTGCAATTTGGGACCACAAAGCATTTCAAATATTGTATATATAGGTATATAGTAATAATATAATAATATACATTATAATGTAATCGCAGTCACAAATTTACGGAATAGAATAGTTCATATAATCATTCAAAGAATTTGACAATATAAATTAATATTATATATTATTACGATCATGATTCATGACAAATAAAATTTGTTAATTGCACAGACCTGAAATCATAGTGTATGTATTATTACACACTTGTGTTTATCACAGTCTCGTATTATCGCTCCCGCGAAGAAAAGAGGCTCGTTATCGTAGTAGTTATACTACAAATATTTCATCAGCAATAAGAGCTCGTTTTCGTTATCGCCCGGCGTTTTTATTTTTTTTTAGCTCTTTTATGGTCATTGATAATAATTTTTTCGAATCGTTCCCACACGTTCAACGACCGACGTCGATATTATTTCAACACGTCGCTCGCGCACGCACAGCGGAACGCAAACGCGTTTTTCGTCCGACTGTCGGTAGTATCGATTATAGTCCGTCACATCCGTCTCAGCTGCACCATGATCAAGTCCAATGCTAACCTGTCCCGAACGTGCCTGTTGAAAAATTCCCGCGCGCCGTTCAACAGTCGACGGCCGCTGGCCACCAAACCGGTGCCCGTGAAAATGTCGTACTCGTCGTATCCGCCAGAATCGACTGCCGATGATCGACAGAAGCCGCCGGTCATCATCATGCACGGGTTGTTTGGTTGCAAGACCAACTGGAACAGTTTGTCCAAATCTTTACACAACATGACCCACAGGAGGGTATGTATATGAATAGCGTAACACTGCGATGTGTACCATTTTAATTAGTTTCGTGTGGGCCAATGGAATTATCAACTTTTGTTCATGATCTGTTTCGCCTCAGGCCCCAGTCAAGGAAAATTTAAAGGAGCCCCCTTATTGTCCAGATTGATTAGAAGTACTTGGGATTTCTCGTTAGAAATTTTTGATATTAATATATTGTTTCTAAACAATTGTTCTTTATGAAATATTAATAAATTTAATTAAATAAAATTAACTTGAATTTATATTTCAGCACTATTACTCGTATACAGCCTGCATTTTCAGTAAACGTCTAAATAGCTATAACTATTATTTATTATTGTTATTGCTGGAGTGTGAAGAACGACATTAAGTTTTATTTTATTTTATCCAAATTTAAGTAGAAATTTCTTATCGCAAGTTTTGATGGGAAAACATTCAAGTTCTTATTTTCTATGGTTGTTTATAAATTATATTGAAATGAATTTAAATTTTATTGAGTGTGATAACTGGTTTTAAATTATTGAGAAGTTATTAAAAATGTAATTCATTGTATCGATGCATTTAAATGACCTTGGTTGGTTGATGTTTGGAAAACTATATTCAACAAAATGTTGTAAACTTGGTTCGTATTTTTTTATTAAACTTGTATATTGTTATGATGACTGAGAGGTCCTTGAATTAATTTGCCCCAGGCCCAAAATTCTTTAGGATGGTTCTGAGGAAGAGTATTGATATATTAACTACTTATTTAAATATACAATTTATTTAAATTTTTTGAGTTCATACTGACAATTGTTTTTGGACAAGTCATTACATTTTATCATATATATTTCTTTTTTATGACTGGCGATCAATATGATTGTCCATAGCTGTGTTAATATTAAAAATTGTACTTATGAAGTAAATTATTTTTATAGATAAAATTGAACCTTTGGTTTTTGATAAGATTATTTTGAATGAAAAGTATAGGGAGTTTTAGTTTTTAATTGTAATCAATATATTAATGGTGTCATTGGCTGCTTTGTTATAAATAAGAATATATTTAATGTTGTGAAAAAATGCTATTATTTATAATTATATAATAATTATCTTCTAATGATAACATTTTTTTTAGATGTAATCCTCTTTATCTACTTTATTTTTTTATTTTATTCAATTTATTGTTGAACCGTAGATTTAAGTGGTAATTTGATATGGTTGAGAGATAAAATTTAAGTATATTCTTTTTTTATGTATAATAAAAACATTTGTAAACATGTAATATAATTAATTAAATATACTTGTTTTATTCAATTAGTTTCTAAATAGTTTCAGATAATGATAGGCACGTAGTTAATTAGATACCAAGGCACAGTGCTGTTCATTAACATTGAAAATCAGTGTAATGTTTTAATATATCAAAAGTATAGGAGCAATATTTATTAGGCTGCAACTAAAAACTTTTTCTTGTTGTTTATTCTGGTAAATCTCATGAAAATTTTAGTACCAATTTTTGTAAAAATAAAAAAAAATAAAAAAGTTATTTATTGTTATCCTAGTAGGTATATAGATACTACAGTGGTTGCTGCTTATAGTGATTTCCGGTTATAGTGATCAAAGTTCTCTTGAACGAATGTGATTACTATAAGCGGCGACCACTGTATAATGTTCTGAAACTTATAACAAGGATTGGGATTTAGATGTAAATGCATCTTTTTTTCTTTTGTTCCCCAATACATAGGTCTGTGGCAAATATGTTTCAAATGATACTGATTAATTTAATATAGTTTTTACATTTTATGACAAATTTAACTTAATACTCATTTTTGGAGCATATTTTGGTGTTTTCATGGTATTTTTCAAGTTAAAAGAGCATTCTTCAGAATTTTTCTATTAATTCTTAAATATTAGGGTATTTGATCTCGTATTCCGGCATTAATTCGCTTAAAACTTAGAAGTTTAGTATGTAATCTACTAAATTAATAAATAAATACAAACATATCAGTACATTTATATATTTTATCAAAAATAGAACAAAATTAAAATAGTCTAAAGAAATTTTTTTATCTGCAAAAGTCCAACGATGATCATATTTAAATAAAGTTAAATAATATGTTAATATTAAACAAAGAGGTATCTATTTTATTATTATTATGTTAAATAAATATAATTAAAAATGTTTGGTAACATGATTTTTGTAATATTGTTTATAAGCAATAATAAATACATTTTTATAGTGCATTTTTGCATTTCTTTTAGAGCATTTTTTCTATTTTTTAGAGCATTAAAATCCCAGCCCTACTTAAAACCATTATGATCACCTTTAAAAATAGAAAATAATAAGATACAGTTTTAGGGTATCATTATTATCTATTTTTAAATATTTATTTTATGGATTTAGAAGACGTATACATTTGAGTTATAATTGTTAATTTTTAGTTAAATAATATTTAATTAATATCTCATTAGTGATTTTAAATATTTAGTCTTAAATATATATTTTCATTAAAACATTATTTTTTCATTTTTTTTTTTTTGGGGTAACAGCCTTTAAGATCAGCATTCCAAGTATATACTTCTCCATCTATTTCTATCCTCCGCTTCTTCCCTCCATTGCAAACTGTCTTCTATTCTTCTTATATCTTTAATAACACAGTCCTCCCATCTTAAGCGTAGTTTGCCTAAGGGTCGTTTTCCTGCTGGGTTATTTTCGATTACCTACGGATCTTATTATTGATCCCTGTTTCCTCCATGCATGTCCTGCCTATCTCATTCTTCTGACTGAAATTTCTTTTGTGATGTAAGGGCGTTGAAAAAGGTTCTGGAGTTCTTGGTTATGTTGTTTCCTCCATTCTCCGGTTTGATCATCCTTGCATGGTCCAAAAATCCTTCTCAGAATTTTCCTTTCGAAAACCTCCAACCTCATTTGTTTTGCTTTCCTGAGAGGCCAAGTCTCTGAGCCGTATAGCACAACTGGGTGTATCAACGTCATATATACTTGAACTTTAAGATTATTTGAAACAGCTTTAGCGCTCAGTACTTTTCCTAATCCCTTTTTTCAGTCTAGTATTAATTTCTACTTTTATATTATTGTCATTAGTTAATACTGAACCTAGATAATTAATGTAGGACACTCTTTTAAAGCTATGGTTTCCTACTTCCATTATTTCATCTTGTCGATAATTGACCTCTCTTCTATTCACTATTATATATTCTGTTTTTTCATCATTGATTTGTAAGCTAACTTTTCCCACAGTTTCCATGAGTTTCCGGCATGATGATTTAACTTCTTCTACATTGTTCCCTAGAATGACAATATCATCAGCGTAGGCTAGAAGGCTAACAGTTGTCTGTCCTAGCAAAAATCCTCCAGTAACATTTGCTTCTCTGACAACTTTCTCCAACACTAGATTAAAGAGAACGGGTGAAAGTGCATCCCCTTGTCTCAGTCCCGTTGTCACTCTGATCGGTTCTGACGCTCTATTTGCTGTTTTCACTTTAATCTCCGTATATTTTAGGGTAGCTTCCACTAGGTTTACTAATTTTTTTGGGAAACTGAATTCTTTCATTACATTTATAAGACTAGGTCTATGGATTGAGTCATAGGCCTTCTTAAAGTCCACGAATAATACGCATAGATTTTTATCGAATTCCCATGCTTTTTGAAAAATTTGTCAAAAAAGTTGAAAATCTGATCTGTGGTGGACCTATTCTGCCTAAAACCACATTGGTAATCTCCTAGCAACTTTTACGTGCGAGGTTTGATCCTATTAAGAATGCAGTATGCCAAAATTTTGTTGCTGACGTTTTGTAATGCAATACCTCTATAATTATTGCAGTCATGTGGATCTCCTTTTATGTACTGGGAAAATTAATGCTGAATTCCAATCCTGTGGTATTACCTCATCTTTCCAAATGCGTTCCATTAGCTTATGTATGTTCGTAATTATTTCACCATTTAGTGCTTTTAAAATCACACTTTGGATCATTAAGACATTATGAATACTATCATTTTCTATTGATATTTTTTTTTAAGGTGATTTCTGTGGATGCAAGAAATCATGGAGACTCGCCACATACAACAGAACAATCATATCCACTTATGGCTGAAGATGTTAAATTTTTAATGACAGATGTCTTAAAGGTAGAAAAAGCTTCATTGATTGGACATAGTATGGGTGGTAGAGCAATGATGTACTTAGCAGTCATCTATGTAAGGTTTGTTTTAATAATGCTCTTTGGATTATTTTATCATGTCAGCTATAATAAATAAACATTACTAATTTAGCCAGAAATGGTGGAATCCTTAATACCTGTTGATATATCACCAGTCAACAGTAAAGAAGTAAGCGATATTCGAATTGTTATAAATGCTTTGAGAAGTGTTGATTTAAATATTAATGGACCAATATCAAAAATTCGAAAATTAGCTGATGAACAAATGAAAAGTTCAATTGAAGTATGTATTTTTACAATAAGTCATAGAAAATAAGAAATTATTTATTGTTTAATACTTCAATATGTGATGTATAATTTATCATATATATATATTGATAATAATTATATTTGATCGGTTGTTAAGAAAAAAATGAAAATTAAATATATAATATTTTTAATACTTAAAGATTTTTGTTTTATATTTTACAGAGTCCAGTTCTCAGACAGTTCCTTTTAAGTAATCTTATTCAATTGGATGACAAATTTCGATGGCGTTTAAACTTACAATCAATCAGCGATAATTTTGATAATCATATTTCTTTATTTCCACCTGTGCAATCTATCTATCAAGGTCCAACATATTTTATTGGAGGTGGAGATTCAGTCTTTTTAAAACCAGAACATCATGAAACTATTAAACTTATATTTCCTTCAGCTAAATTTGATTATATACCAGGTGCTGGTCATTGGTTACATGCTGAAAAACCTAATGAATTTTTGAAATTAGTAACTCAGTTCTTAGCTACATTATGAAATTATAATTTTGATAATTAATTATTTATTTTTTACTTGTTATTAAAGAAGTTTCACTAGTGCAATATTTAAATAAGATTATCATAAAATACCAGGCAATACAATTTTGTTAACAATACAATTTAATTGTTCTACATAAGTCTGAATAATTAATAGATAGTCAAGTTTATAGTAAAATGTATTATTTTATAATTGCAATATATTTGTATAAATATAAGAATGTTTGCAAATCTACTTAAGAAAATTTTTTTTTCATAGTTAATAAAACTAGTATATGATTTCGTATCATAAATTATAATTAATTATTTTGTTTATAGTTATAAGTAGGGCAGAGGACTTGTAGCTCTAAAAAATCAAAAAATGTGCAAGCACTTATGTATTTAAAAACCCTATAATATGCACTTAAAAATTGTTTTCAGCAATTTAATTTCAGTGTTAATAAAATTAATAGCATTTAAAATAAGTTAAAACAATTACCTAATATCAATATATTTTATGCCATTACTAATGGAAAATAAAATACATTTTTCTTAATTTTTTTTAATTAAATGCATTCAGCTTACTAAGGTGGTAATGTGGTATTATCTATTATCTATCTACTAATAAAATTAATTACAGAAAATTAATTCAGTAGAACTCTGATTATCCAAACGCCAATCAACTGGACGAGAAAAAAAAAGATAATGGCACATGCCAAGTTAATGCGTTTGGGAATTTTGATAAAGAGAATATAAACAAGTGGTTGCTTATGGGGATACAAATGATCCTGGATATCAAATGCTTTCAGACGATGAAATAGTTCATAGCTTATTTGAAGATGATATCGAAGAAGAGGAAAATGAAACTGACGATTTGACTGAAGGTGAAAATGGGCCAACTCATTTTGAAGCTTTTGATGCATTGAATTTGGCGTTTAAATTATCTGAGAGGCAAGAAGTATTGAACACCACTTAATTGTTGCAATTAAGAAGATTGAAAGATATAGCTGCTCTAAGGAGAAAGTCAATTCTGAAGCAAACTAAAATATTGTAATTTTTCAAAATAAAAAAATAATGTGTGCCATGTCGGCTTTTTTTTTAAATATATCACATTATAATTAAAGCTTATTTTGTTTCAGTATAATAAAATTTTTTATAGTTATGAATTTAAATTATATTACATACATATTAATAATAAATACATACACACAATATATTCATACAATTATATAACTTTTCATATGTCAATCATATGGATATTAGCTTATCTGGACCACCCTTGAGATTCATTAGTCTGGATAATCGGAGTTCTACTGTACTATTCTCTTATTAGCGATTCGCAAGCACTTCTAGGAAAAACGGGTACCCCGAACAATCTTAAACCATATTATACAAGAAAAATTAAAAATAAATACATTTTTATACAAATCTTTTTAGTCTGTTTGAAACAAAATTTATGGTGTGAAAAAAATTGATTTAAGTTAAATATGACTCAAAAAGTATAAAAGTATTAAATATGTCTTTACAAAAGAATACTCAAAACATGCATTTATATGAAAAAAAAATTTCAAAACTAGTTTTGTTAAAGCATAAAACACATTTGTTTTGAACTCTGTTATTTTTGCGACTGTGCAAAACAAATATGCAAATGCTACAAGTCCTCTGCCTTATTTATAAGTCATAACATATATGTACTAAATGAGGTAATATAAATATTTTGTGTAATTTATAATAATTTGTATGGTAAAAACTGTACAACCCAACATTCATCCATTCATCTGTAGTACTCATTCATAATTCATTATGTCGTGCTGCTACTCATCAGAAGTTGTAATTTATTGTATTATTGTAATCAGTTGTACTAAAATATCTTATCTTATTCATAACATTATTTGTATAATCAATAAAAATATAAATAGAAACCTCAATTGATCTGAGAAATTTAATTTGATTAAAAGTTTTAAACTGTGTAAATTCCCCCTTTCTTTTGTATTTAAAAGTATATAAATTTATACATTTTAACACGTAACATGTGTATATTTTTTTTTTATCATTTTAAATTTACATCTAAAGGAGGAATTGTTTTATAATGAATTTGTCCATTCTGTATCCCACTAAAAATTAATATTTCATCTATTCTAATAGGAATGTACTTAAGTAATGTATTTCTTACACTAAAAAACTTTTAAAATGTATACATACAAATAAATATACAATGCATATACACATATATACATACAAATACACATGATAAAAATGAAATTGATACATTGTTTTATATATTATATTTTGTTATGACCAATGTTAGCGGTTACAAGAAGTAATACAACATTTTTTGTTCAAAAAAATAGATTATATATTTCTCATTTATACCAATTAAATGTTCTGTATTCTTAAAATTTGGTCATATTGAAAATGAATAATAATATAAATATATATATTAACTTGATATACGTTTATTAAAAATAAAAAAATTGTATAAGAACACAAACAAAAAGCAAGATAATAATCTTGATTTATTTTTAGGATTTTATTAAGTAATAACATTCTAGGGAAATTTGATGAAACATATTAATTCTTTAATTAAACATTATTTGAATTTGTTATCAATAATGATCAGCTGACGCACATTTTACAAACAGAAATATAAAATTATAACTATTTAGTCAGTCTTATCAATATTATTAATCAACTAGCTAAAGTATTCACTACGGTTCTTAATTCTCTCACTTTTTTCTCCAAATCCAATATTGTAGAGCCCCTGGAAAAAAAAAGAAAAACATTTGCTAATACCTAGTTAAAATAAAGTTTAATAATATATATATGAGTAATGTATTCATACATCTCGGACAGATTTCCTTTGATAACTAACTCTTGTTCAAGAGTTAACCTTAATGATCGGGATCCAGGTATTTGTTTATTTTCAGACGTTGATTCGCTTTGCACTATATTCCATTTTTCTCTGGCTTCTTCGATGCGCTTGTTCATCACCTCCATTTTGGCTTTATACGATTCTAAGAGTTCGCGTTTTTTTTTAGTCGACACGCTGTCGGGGGATGCGGACACCAGTTTCAAAAGAACTGTTGAAGCTCTAAAAACACGGTAAATTAATATCGATTGATGAAATACTATTTGAAAACATAATTTTATGAAATATTGTTTCCAATTATTTCTTAAGCTAATAACTAATAGGTTTACGGTTGTAAACACGAAAATATTCTTAACATAATTTCCTCCGAATTTTTTCCATATAAAGGTTTACCGAGTATCATCGTATAATAATTATTATAGTAGAGGTTACTGAAGCAAAATAGAAAAGCAAGAACATTAAAACATAAAATTACTGTGCGTACACGGCATAAACATCGTTCATCGTCACGAATGTATCTGAATTGCCAATACGGAGTGCCATTCGTTATTCTTAGTAAGTAGCTAAGTTTTGTTACAGCTCATTTCGCAGCGATTTGGTTTTTTCTATTATATCGCTTAAGGAAGTAACATTTGTTATGCGATCGGTCGCGAATATAGTCTGACCGTCTAATTGTCTAATGGGCACTTGAAAGATCTCGAAAACCTCGTTAAACAAACTTGCTTATTTATATTATTTATAATTTATGAGCATTTTTAAGTGTAATTTATAAACCTGGTAAAGATACGTAGAACCACTAAATAGTGGTCTAAATTAGAAAACAAAAGGAGAGGATAGAGAGACTTGAAGGATTGGTTGTTTTTCGAGATGGTCCTGATGGCCGTTAATACCCAAGATGAAGAAAAATATTTATCATAGCTTCACGTTTATATTATAAACAACATGGCGAAGACTACTGACATGTATAAATATATCTTGTATAAAACGTCTAGTTTTTAGATATAAGTATAATTAACCTAAACAATTGATCTTACTCCTCAGTCCATTTCAAATATTTGGTCAGAACTAGGAGCTAAATATTTTATATTTAATTCTGTTGTTGTAGCTAACAAAGTTATGGGTCAGTAGGTGTCAACCATGAAACCTTGCAAATTACCTTTTAGTTAATTCTTCTTGTTTGTTGTTAATCTCATCTAACTTTTCGGCTTTGTTTTCTACGTCATCTTGTAATTTTTGCCGAACATCTTCCAACCGCTGCATTTCTAAAAATTGCCTTTCTTTAGCATTGGATAGCATGCGAACCCGTCGCTCAATTTCTTCAGCAACTATTTGATGATTATTTAATGTTTCTCTTCGCATACTCATATTTTGTAACACCATCTGAAACATGTGTTTAATTACATATGAATCAAATGATGAATTACATCTTGACGGAAGAAAATTAAATAAATAATTGTTTACCTGTATTACAACGTCTTTAGGAACATCTGGTCCTAATTTGAGAATTGTATTTTTACTACTGTTGCCTTTTTGCAACAATGCACATATAAATGAACTAAAGTCATTTTTATCAGCCTAAAATGAAAATATAAGATTAAGAAATGGTGGTGTAGAGTTTAAAAGAAAATGTAAAATTTTTAAAGATTTTTTATGTGACTTAATGATGAGCTTACGTTATCAGCATTGTCTGCTTGTTCTTCCGAAGGATTTTCTTGGTTTATGTATACATTAGCTATAGATAGTTTATTGTGAAGAAAGTCCGGAACACTCTGCGTTACGACTTCGCCATTGCTTAGCAAAGTGACTAGTAAGTCTGTTGGAAAGTTTAAGACGGAGAAACCTTTGATAGGTTTCGTTTCTCCATTCATAAGACCCGTGCAGATGTGATATTCTACAAAACTTTGGCCTTGTATATCAGGAGACCCAGTGCGTCCGTCGTCTGAAACATTTTGCGTACACTAAGAATAAGTGAAAAAAATGAAAAAAAAAAAATGTTTTCAATAGTACTCTACCATTGACGCTTTTGGAAAATTCATCCAATAGTTCCGTTAACGGTATGGTGACTGAATGTACGCCTGTATTGTGTAAACACCAATATCTGGATGGAACGGCTGGGTCTTTTTTCAATTGAATCGTGCTGGAGCTATCATATTCGCTGCAGTCTAAAATGTTTAGGCCCAGCTCTAGTTCGACGGTTTCGATGATGTGTAAGCTGTATTCGTGTTGTTTGTCACTGGAAGTGTATTCACCATCCTAGAAAGTTAAAAAAAAAAAAAATAATAAAACAAAGCACTTGATGGTAAAAACTCGGCGAAGACAAAAGACCCATATCGATTTAATGAGATCAAAGTCAAACAGAATACAATCGTTGGCATTAACTGTCTAATAGTCGAACACGAAATTTCAGATAAATAATGTTAGCTTACAATTTTTTTTTTATATCCATTCAAAATTATGTCGTTGTCAATAATGTTCGATTCAACGAACTTCTTAGAAAACAAGAAAGAAACATATTGTTACTGGATAATGTATCTGTATTATTATACGGTTAGATTAAACCGTCGTTAATTATCGTAAACCACAATAGGGGTTAAGCTTGTTTGACAAACTAATTCGATGGTTGGTTTCACTTAATAGTTTCCAGATCTTAGTGGATCATAAACTTTTGCAGACCCCAAAAATTTTAATTTAATAATATCAACAATCGATTTTTCAACGTCACCCTCAATATTATACTAGTTTCCCGTAGTCCATAGAGGTATAATACACTCATATAAACTTGGACGATTTTTTTTAATTGATTTAGTTTTTCAAAGAATGCTTAACTTTTGTTTAAGTAAAAATCGACTATTACTTTATACCTAGAACAATTTTATCTCGGTATCTTTTTTTATAGCTGTCGTTTTTTTTATAGTTGTACCATAAACATTTTTAACTTATAAATGACAACCAATATTTTTTGTTTTAAACCGTCAACCAATAATTTAAAATTAAACACTGTAATTTGTAAATAAAAAATGTACTCGCATACACTTTGTAATTTGATGAATTCAAATCTAACACCTAAATTGTTTATTGGTTATAAATTATAACTTCAAATAGTTTATGGTTAATTTAGATAGGAAGACTGGAGGAACGGTAAATCGTTGTCATTTATTTTTATACTACCCCTTTCTACTACTAATTTTACCTTGTATACAGATTAAATTCAATATAAAATGTTATTTAAAATAATATAAAATTAAAATGATAGGTAAATGCATAAAAATAAAATTTCGGTCATGAATTATACAAGAGTAATTATGCATACATACTACGGTTATGTAGCGCTATAAAAGCAAACAAATTTGAATACTGACTGTATTTTGAGTTTCAGGCAATAGAAGACAATTGTAAAGTTCACCAAAGTTCGACGCTATCACGACCGAAGGCGGCACGGTGTCCAAGACGAGTAAAGAGCATGCGTCTTCACTGTAATTGTCATCGGCGGGCGGATACATAGTTAAGGGTCCCATTATTTTTGCCGATCTTATACACATTTCCTCGTCAACAGTTGTATTGAGGCACATGACTTCACCTAAAATCGAGTAATAAAAGTATAATATCAGAAACTAAATTCAATTTTAACGAAAATTAATTTGTTCTGTTTAAAACACGATATTATGGTCAAAATTAATTTGATACTATAATAACAATTTTTTATTTGCAAAATAAATAAAAAAAACAATATTATTTATAAAATAAAGATTTTTTGAATTAAATGTTTTACAATACAGATGGATAGTGGCTGAAACTCCAGGAAAGTAGCAATGTCAAAAGAAAAAAATATATGTGTAAATATTTATTTATATTTGGAATTAACAAAAAGAAATCTCTTTTGTGAAACAAATTACACCATCATAATATGATGTATATTATACTGAATTTGAAAAGTGAAAGTGAATTGTTGAATTAATTACGCGATTTTGCGACAGTTAAAACTGATAGTTATATAGTGACATAAGATAAACTTGGGCATTTCTTTAAAGCTCCATTGAAATATTGTGAGATTGCCCGATCAAGTATTTATGTATCTTATTACTAATAAGTTAATAAGTAATAAAAGTTATTACTTTACTGAAGTGCTTACATATTGAATCCCTTAAATATTACAGTTGTGTCTTCTTACAAAAATTGTATAAGTTTGTAATAGTTTTACGTTAAACAACGAACACTATTTTGTGATCATGTTTCATCAAACAACACGAGACAATTATTATTATTATTACTGTCCTCAGTCGTTTTATCACATGAATAATCATTATAGTCTCAAACATCGTTTATCCATTCAAACTTCTTATAAATAATTAAAAAATTATTTTCTTTTATCTAATAAGGTTTGTACGAAAGTTCCTTTTTATCTTTAATACGATCTTTGGTCGTTGTAATACAATCATTATTCACTTTCACGTTTTTGATTTAATTTCCATCACATATGACTCAGAGGCCAAAAAACATATTATACCTAAACATTTATTTTCAACCGATAAAATTAATTGCAAACTTTTTAAATTAGTTTCTGTAGTACATTATATTCGTGTCGTACTATTTATTTTCTCGATAAAGAAATTATTCCTATAAATTTATTATCAACAATTTAGCTATACTTAATTAAACAATTTTTACTATCCTATTTATATCATAAATGTTATGTACTTTAATTTAAAATCTAAAATAGAAATTAACTTATATATAAAAAAAAAATAAAAAAAAAAAATATATTATACCGATAACGCACATAACAGGCTCAGTAATTTAATAGTGAACAAAATAATATTGTTTAATATCATTAATCGTAGACGAGTTCGTACCATTTCCTTGCAGCACGAGTATGGGCCACATGATCGACGTTTCCGATTGGTTGCGGTCGCCAAGTAGTACTGGTGGTGCGAAATCAAAGTCGACAGCCGTGTCGCCTAACGAAGCGAGCATACGAGAAGTCTGCGGCCCTATTCGCCAAATAGACACTAATTTACCGGTGCCATTATCTACCTTGAATAGTCGCAAACAGTTTTTGTTATTGGTGAGCACCACGAGGTGATTGTCCTCTGGACTTCCTGGGTACCATCGAACTCGTTTCACATCCGTCAAGTACTTGGTTATGAAGAATTTATCTTGCAAAAGTGATGTGCTACAAATAAATTAATACAAACATCAAAACTATAAGGTCGTTGAAAATCAAAATTTATCATTTTAGAAATGAAGTTATAATTATAAAACTAATTTCGTAATGAAAGGAATAGAGAAAATATTTTAGGTTTTTAAAAGTTACATTATACATATGAGGTAATTTTTATTTCAAATTTTTATTTACAATAAATTTCTGTTGGGCCGCTGATTATAAAACGATACTTCAATATTTGGATTCAAACAATTTACATTTCTACTTTGTAATAAATGTTGATGTTTTTAAATATCGAAAATATTTTTCGGCTTTGTGATGAATAGCAGAAAAGTATTATCTGAACATCAAAATAATATACTGTATATAAACATACTATTTAGTATTTATGTAAAATGTTTTATGTTATGTTGATAAAATGTCGAAGAAAATAATATATAAACACTAACTGACCCGACAAACGTTGTTTTGTCATATAAATTATTAGAGATATACTTGTATATATTTACACACACAAACACACAAATACGTACTATGGTGTTTAAATACAGCGGAAAGTTTGAAAGCGCATTTGGAAGTTTACCGAGACGAAGCAAATGTAAAATTACGAAAACGACCAAAATCTTTGACAGGGTGAATTTTTTTTAAGTTTTTTAATTATATATATACACATACACTCATATGTAAGATAATTCACGGAATATTCACTCGGAGGGTTCATCTCGGCCGAAATGTAATTGCTCACTGGTATTTTCATTTGTAAACAAATATACATACGAAGGGATTTAGATTTGCCTTTCCATTCTCATGAAATTCATTAGGAAACCATGCGTTTTATAGTCATTAATAAATCAGCTGAAATTCGAATAGAAACCATACACTGCAGTTGTTACAATTTGTTAAGTCAATAGAGTCTAACGTTATTAGTAAAGTTCGCGTGGCTCAACGCAGCTCTCGCTTGTGCAAAGGCGAGGCATGTATACCCGCGCATATACTTCTATAGTCGACGAAGCGGGTTACGATCGTACAAATAGAAGTTGACTAAAATAAAATTCTACCGAATACTAAACGTCCTGTGTTTATTGTCTTTGGAAATATGGCGAAGTGTTTGGTACAAAATAATATGTTAATATATGTATACGAAACGAGAGGAATATTCACCGTGTGCCGCGAAACCGGCGTTATGCTGCAGCAGCGCGTGAATAAATTTTTGTTTGTCTTTCAAAGACATCCACGCACCATGATGGTATCGGGTGTTCTGTTTTTGTAAATCATGAGTGGGCGAGAACATTAAAAACATAATTTTCCAGAATAAATATTATTTTTGAATGCAGAGACAAAGTGGAATACCGTGTTTATCTAAATATGATATAAGACTATAGGAAAACATACCGAACGCAACGTAATTTCAAGTAATTTTTTCAGTTTTAAAATAACCAATTATATTTCGTTCAAAAATACTTTGTTTTTTACGCGAATAAAAATATTAAACGACGCGACATTGTTTTTCATATATCAACTCAAGTTGAACCACTATATAGCGAATGTTATATTTTAATTTAAAGTTTTTGTTCAGTGAGTTATTGCATAAAATAGCATTATTACAAAAATTAATAAAATCTAAAAATCATCTAGGAACTTGAACTAGAGACCTGTTGACTGATCGAGATTATTTATAATGCAATTTATTGCATTCAAATCAATTATGCACCCATAAGCTGTCCACCCCTTTTTTGTATTTAGTTACTTTTGTTTTTATAATATGTCCATTGCATTGCCATTCAAGTATCCATTATTTCTGTGTGTATAAATTATGTACATACTCTAATTTGTTTTTCACTCGGCTCCCGGCCGTCAATTAGCGCCAAATGACATCGGGCTAACGTCAATTCGGCCCTCTTTTGCCCGATATTTCCTAAATGTCAGTAGCATAAAAAAGGGGTGTACCCTTGGCAAGTTACGTCGGATGTACCGCTTTGTTGATAAGCGCGCACATTTGATTGCGCGTTACTTCCGGCCAAAATTGGATGAAAAGTAATCGGAGCAAAAGATTTTTGGCCCAGTTTTAATAAAACACGCGTTAAGCAGTCGAGTGTACAACCCCTCTCGAAAAAAAAAAAATCAAACGGACTAGAAAATGCATAACGTGAAATAATATAATACAAACTTTCGGTGGGTACCTTAAAAATTGCGTGCTTATCCGGGTGCAGATAAATCAAATCTCGTAAAACATTAAATATTTACATGTATACTACCTACTACATAAACAATTAAATAATTAGCTTTGAAAATAAAAGTTTTGTTATTTTTAAAGTTTGAACTTTGTCAAAACACATGTTTTAGAGAAATATGTATGTCCGATTGTAAACACTATGTACCACTTTTTTTCACAAATTTAAATAACGAAATAACAGTTGAATTTCAAATATAACATAGCAAATAACTATGTAGGGATTTCTATGTATATATATAGATTAATATATAAAAATATAGTAATATATATTATATTTTTTTATATAAATAATAGAGCAGTTCATTATTTTAGGTTGTACACAGAAGTTTTGTAGCAAGAGTGCGTATAGCAATATGGGAGTTAAAATTCGAATTTTCAATTAACGTTTATTCATCGTTTTCTTCATCCATCCAGAAATATATACTATACGTACCAGAAGTATATACTATACGAAATAATAATTAATTATGCGCGTTTGCAGCAATTACCCATTTATGCATTGTTCGCCATGTTTTACGCAATTAGTTTCTTAAGTTCGTGAACCTCGGATGTTTATTCCAGCTGAATTTCATGTAAATTTGTTATTTGCGGTATGATCGTGTATACCATAAGACACGTTCAAAAGTATTTGAATTTTGGCTTATAGTGTTAGTAAAATTTATTTTGATATTGTCTATTAAATTTTCAACTGTCAAGTTATAGAGTATACAGGGTAGGTATCAACACCGGAAGACGAGCTACCCTTGTTGGTCAAACATCACCGAACAATAATAGTGCTCGTAGTTAGTTACTGCATCGGTAAAAAATGTTCAAGGTATCGATTATTAGGCGGAAGTTGTAGCACAGACGACGGTGCCTTAATAGCCGGTCCATTAGCGTAAAAGTTAATCGCCGTTCCGGTGCTCATAAAATACACTCGGTGCGCAAAAACAAAAGTGCGCATCCGATACTTGGTGGCGACGGCCTTGGCGGTTCTTTATTAAACGTTTTACGTACACACCCACACGCAAGCGAGTGCAGATATAGCGGAGCGTGCTATCGCAGGATTGCATAGAGCCGACTGGAATCAGCGGAGGTATATCATTAAGAATCGCTGAGGATCACACGTGTGCCCACACGCTCCTTCCGTTGTCTGGCGGATTTAATGCACCACTACCGCGTGTAGCGAAATTTGATGTTGCACGAGGTTAACCTATAAAACCCGTCATCGCCATTACCGCTTCTTATCGAAAGAAGTTTCGTCTATTATTTATAGAATTCATTAAAAGTTCCCCGAACGACCCTTGAGCATTGGCAACAGCAGCCCATACCGGAGTTATATACGTGTATAGGTACGCTCTCGTTCCACCTCTCTTTCACACCCTTTATATACTATCCTTGTGATATTGTACATTATTATAATGTATACTATATCGAGATGACTACGGAGTGTGGTTTTTATAGGTCTTCAAAAATCTAAGATACCGAATTAATGTGAGTGAGTAAGTAGGAAAAGAGGAAGAAAAACAAACGGAGGGAATAGTATAGGAGCTTGATGTTCGAAAAACTGCTGTAAAATAGCGCTTCTACGGTTTTACCTCGTCGCCATCACGAGTACGTAAATACGAAAATAATATCGTCGTAAATAATAATTACTTATGTTGGTTATTTATGTTCTCGTACAACGTATACAGTAACGTACGTATCGTCAAACGAATACAACTTTGTGTATAGGTACGAATGATAATAATTATTTCTGGTCGTAATATGACATTTAATATACATCAATGTTCGAGTTTATTGCCGAAGACGATTAAATATTGTACCGTTCAATAAACATCGCTTGGATATTTGAAATGCTATTAAACGGTATAAAATAGGTATTGCTGCATACTATTATAGTTAGTTGTTTCATTAATAATTGTATTATTGGTTCGCATGCAAACATGGAATACACTCATTATTATTTTGATTCATAGATTTAATTTATACAAGAAAATCAAAGTTCAGGTTATCTATTTGTCCCGAAAATAATCGAATATGAGTTAATGAATAAATATTAATTTAGAAGTAGTACCTATACTTATAATAATATACTATTTTCTTTTTTTTAAAAAATATTAATAAAAACTTTAATAATTTAGGTATTTGAACTAGAATTTTAATAGATTAACTGATCGAGATTACAAATTGAATTCCAACCAATTATGATGTACACATGAAATCGTATAATATACTATAATACTATAATCATATAAATAAAAAAGATTATAGTATATTAGTAGTGGTAAATTACTTTTGTTATATTTTTAAGCCAACATACATTTTATTCTATACGAATCAATTTGAATAGTTAATCGAAAACTTCTACAATAACATATAGTTAAAAATTAAATTGTAATTATCAGAAAATAGGTATAACATACATATACCTATACATTTTATGATTTTTTTTAAATATAATTTATAATACACTTTATTCTTTTTAGCGTTTTTTCGATAACGTTTTTTAGCGTTTTTTTTAAAAATCAAATGCGCTATATTTGAGAGTATGCTTTTCAACGCCAAGACAATATTTTATGGTGTTTTTCAAGTCTTTTAATTGTCTTGAACTCTATTAAATATTGATTGTAGCACAATATTATTATTTCCCTATGGACGGTGGTTAGTGGTGCGGCTAATAACAATATCTAAAAGCCCTAAACAAACTACAGTAGGATTTTTAACATTAATCTCACGTGCTTTCATTTATACCCTTTGGACCCTGGGCAACCACCCGACACACAACAATAATGTA